ATGTTATATGAAAATATACAATGGCTCATTATCCAGAACTACGTCGTATTAATGGCGCAGTTATAGAAGAACCTTGAAATCAGCAAAGACTCAGCATTTCCTGTTTACCAGTCTAGAAATAGAACACAAAGGACTTCCAGTAGGAATTACCTATAAAAGCAAGCAAGACCCGAAGCCAGCGTTCATAAGTTATTATTACTCGTATAATTCACTTCAGCTCATGAAGCTCAATAATTGTATTTGTATTTGTGAACCAAAATAAATTGTTTTTAAAAAGCTTATATTTGAAAACCAAATATAACAAAGTGGCGCAGTCGGTAGGATTTCTAAAAACGTAGAAACCCCAAGCCAATAAAGAAGAAAGGCACCAGAGAAGTTCCTACGGTGATCCCCAGATCTTCAAAGAAAAAAGAACCAAAAAAGCAACCCAAGTGGAAGGACGGTCCCTTCAACACTGAAGAAACACGTGTAAGTCGCAAGCCGTTACTCATCTGCAGTGGAGTTCTGCCTTATGAAGTAGGATTTCATCCTCCACAACGAAGGAAAGCCCAAGAAACGAAACCGCATAGATTTAAGAAGAAACCAAACCAAAACCCCGTCTTGAGAGTCCTGTGGATTAGGAACACCCAGTGAAGCCCCTGACAGAAGATTTCAGCAACCCAGCATCGCAAATGTAAGTGACCTCTTGAATTATCATCTTAATTGATTGTAATCGAAGTTCTCTTATCCATTCCATTCTCACCCAATTTCATCCAAAACCAACTTGAAACTATCTTCAAACAGCTGAAGATAAAAGACAACTGAAAAAGAAATTTCTTCATACTGCTGAAGAAAAGTGAAAGTAACATCTGAAACTTTTATATTACAAAACTTTACGACGATGCATCTGGGTCACGTGACAATTTGGAGCGCTCTGATTGGTGTACTCGCGACGATGCGTCTGGGTCACGTGACAATTTGGAGCGCTCTGATTGGTCGCAGGATCCAAAATTGCCAGAATGAACCTCCATAAGAAAATACATGGGGTTTTGATTTAGAAGCCCTGCTGCCTATATATTGGAGTCTTTATGCGTGACACGTTGCCAACTCGTGGTCCTCGGCTGCGAGAATGTGCTGTGCTGAACTAGGATTCTCAATTGGATGCAGGCACTCACTGGGTAGCTTACATTGAAAACGGCAATGCTGTACAATATTTTGATAGTTTCGGTAATCTCAAACCTCCAATGGAATTGGTAGGATATTCCGAAGGGGGTATAACGATTACATATAACAATGATCAGTATCAAAATTTTGACCGGAGTAATTGCGGATATCTGTGCCTA